TTCTTCTATTTAGGAAGATGAATCATCAAACCTATGACAGTGATTTACTTTGTCACTCGCGCTGTGATTAATTTATTGACAAAGGTGCACTATTCTGGATGGTGTTGCTTGCGGATATAAGCACGCAACGGCCTGTCAAAGAAGCCAAATTTTGACTGAGAATCGACACCTGCTCCCTCATTTATAAAATGCAAGCATGTGAATTGAATTATTTTCACAGTCTGTGACTTTGGAATAACATTGTGGTGATCTGCACTCATCTTCCTGTCTGCACTGCCCCCGAGACAATCTGAGGAAGTGGAGATGATGTGTTCTGAAGGTGCAAGACCGAAACAAAAAAAAACATGATGTCCTTTTAAGGCGTCTTTCCTCTTATTCCCTGAAACCCCGTGTGTGTCCGTTCCCTTGTTGTCTGACTGGTACCTGTGATGTCACTGATAAAGAATTCTCCAATGGTTAAACACCATAGAGGCTCTGGTTAATAAGTGACAGGATCTGACATGGACTTTCAGATCTGAAATGGAGGCCTCTGTGCCACACAAATACACAGAGACACTCTGTCTCCCTTGTCTCTTTTTCAGTCCCCCTCATATACAGAAATAAACCAACGCACGGACACATGAAATTATGCAAGAGTGTGTAATGTCTGATATTAGATGCACTGTTATTCCTGTAAACCTCTGTTGCCAAGCTGTGTTTAAACACTGAAAGAAACATTGGCTCTTCGATAGGTTGAACATATCTGGCAAACACTTTTCTGTCTGAGAGTAAAAGAGCAGCATCATTTGGCAACAAGTGGGCTGGTATCTTATTCTAACATTGTTTTAGTATCCTCAAACTCCAACATAAACCAAAGACCCTTCTGTCTCTAACCACATTCGGTATCTTGGAAGAATATCTGTTTGAATAAGGACAAACTGCAGCAGGAAATGAGGTTAGAGAAAGCTTAGCAGATGACTTTCTTTTTTTTAAGAAAAAACAATCTGTCACATCAGTAGAGGGAAAACTGACGACTCAGGTCATAATTCACTGTGAGTTTGACGGTCTTCGCCATGCCTTTCACCTGCACATGATATATGGATCATATAAAAATGTTCATTAGTTCAGTCTTCCCTATTAATCTCACACTCAGATGGAGGGTGACAGGCCCGGGTTTAGAATGGCTGTCCGACACTGTCTGTTGCACTGCGATGGGTTTACACGTGTCCTTTACCGTAATGATCTCGCCGACGGCTCCGACTCACATTGATGACATCACAGCGGTGAAGTCATCGTCTTGCAAGCCTGAGAGCAGATTAAACTTGTGGTAGGCTGCTGTCACATTGGTTTCTGGGAAGCTTAGCGTGGCTGCACGAGATCGCTGTGTGTGGCTCAGCAGATTAAAATGTGTGCCATGCTCATGCATGATGTCATGCAGTTGAGCCCTGAACTGACCTATATTGCCAATCATCCCTGCTTTCTCAGCCTTTCAAATAATCTTGACAGCCATCTTCTGCACAGCCAGAACCCTGAAAAACAATACACAAAAAAAAATGTAAACAGCAAAAACTGTTGGTGTGTTTTTTCTAAGGAATATATACAAATTTGGTGTAAAACCATTTATGGTGGTTAAGCACGGCAGTATTGGGGCATCACTGCACCTGTGTATTTGCATGGTGGATTCAACTATCATGGTTTCATACATCATCAATCATTTCAACAATGTAGACTGACTTTTCAGGGCTGCCAAATAGAGGCAAGGATCACCTGATGTCAACTAAAATGCTTTGGACTTTGTTTCACACCAGTTTGAAAGCATAAAAGGACTATTGGATATTTGAAAGCACCTTAAGATGTAATATTTCATATTGTAAAACTTGTATTAAAAAACATTTTGGCAAAAAGAGTGTGTGCGTGTGTGTGTTTATACGTGGCTGTAAGCGGTTGATGAGACAAAGGAAAATCCATCCTGTTTATGCACATTCCAAAAATTCCAAACGGTCATACTTTGTCATTTTCCTTTCAGGAAAATGCTTGTGTCTTTCTCACTGGAAATGTCCCACAGCTTCTCATAAAAGGTTATATATTTGGACTTTCTTTCTTTTTTTTTGAAGGGGGGATTCAAAGGCATTTTTTCCTTGTCTGTTTTTGTTTTTTTCTTATTCTGGGGAAAGTCCTCTCTATGGTCATTTCTTCGGTGATTGGGGGCGACATCCTGAAGCTGATGAGAAGTAGTTTTGTTTAGTAAGAGTAACAGTAAGAGTTGCAAACCTCCAACAAGCCATAAAGAAAACCTTGGCACTGGAAACACCCTGGACTCAGATCCAGACCATATAAACTTAAGCCTCTCACCGGACTACTTTAATGAAACATTTAGTGAGTGTTACCTCAAATAAACTAACATCGGCTAAGTCAACTCAGGCAAATGGCTAACCTGAATGTGACATTTAAACAATAGTCCTGTTCATTCAATCTGCTTTCAGCATTAAGGTAATCCACTGATTATGGTATGCACTGTATTCCGCAGTGTGTACCAGTTCATGTGTGGTACACCTGCACTTTCTAGAGGGTGATGTCCAATCTCTTATGGTCTGAGACAAATTTCTTAATCCAATTTGTATTTCAATGAAAAGTTTGTGTGTACAATTCCCAGATGATAAACAGCAACAACTTCTGATGTCAAAACATTCAAATAAGCAGTGCAGAAAAAAAAAAGAAAAAACTATGTTTGGGTGTCTTTAGACTGATCATACAAATAATCCTGCAACAAATCAGCCAGAACAAAAACAGGAGGCCTTACAAATTCCATGTGTTATCATCTTTATTACCTAGTGCGTACTTTAAAAAATTCTAAAATGATCTTTGATATGAGTTACCTAGATTAACCTGAAAACATAACAAAATATTCACTATATGAATAGAACACATCTATCTGTCTTTACTGCATGCTGCCGATTAGACCTGGGTAAGACATTGTTGATGATGACTCACACAGGTTTATTGCGTGTTTGTCTGTGAGAATGGGCAGTGTGTGTCACTGTCTGCAGGTGTGTATTCTGAAGTTTTCATTCTTATTTTTCTCTCGAGTCTTTTCATCTCTACTTTATGTCCCTGTTTCCAACCATCTCACCCCTTCACTCTCGCTCTCAGAAACACACAGAGCCACGTACGCACATTTCACTCTCCCTATTTTTGATCACATTCCAACCCGGTGACTTCAGTGTGTGTGTGTGTGTGTGTGTATGTGCCCATGACGTCAGCTGTTTGTTTGCGTACTCTGGTTGTGTCTGGGGCACCAGCGTGGTAGATAAGGAGGGTGGGCGCCTGTGTGTACATGTGAGTGTTGAAGGAGAGAGAGAGAAGGGAATTACCAGATGTAAACGAGCGCATAAAAAGCGATCTGATGAAATCAGTTGAACTTGCTTCAGTGATGAGCTTGTCAGCTTCATAGAGTCTTCATTGTTGAGCAACTGATGATGAAGTATATTCTTATTTCACTGTCTATGCCGCTCCCTCACCCCAGGCGAAGGAAACTGCAGCCTAATGATAACACACTCTTAGACAATGGGCTCTGTGGGTGTAAATACACATGCACGCGTACACATAGATGCACACTGCATACACATCCACTCTAGTGATGAAGCTCAGGGTCAGGGCTTATGTCTGTGCTGCTGATAGGGTCTAAACTTTCTGAAATTATTTATCAAATATGGAACAATCCGGACATACCAGCCGAATTTCAGAGCTCAATTCTGCCCCAGTGTACTGTAAAAATGACCTGTTGGAATAACGAATAATTCATCCCCCCCATCTCCTCCCTGCCAAGACTTTTTTTTACCCAGTGATAAGGTCAGATTGGATTTATTTTTGGGCTGCTTGAGGCACTGCAAAAAGCATCAAAACCCCAAGGGGTTCTCTTAAAAGCATTTTGTTGTGTTTTGGGAGGTTTGGTCCCTCTCATGTAGTAACAACTAGCTCTGCTCTGAGAGGTTTGACCTTGATTGATCGCTAATTGTGTTAAAATGCTTTTAGTATATGAGTGTTGCTATAAAAAAAGGCACACAGTAATTTAAATAAAAAATTCTTGTATGTTTTTTATACAAAGCTAAGAAGCTACCTGAAACTATAATTATTTTTCATTATCTCTGTATTTATGTTATACACATTCAGTTACACAGCATTAATTTACTATTATAACGATACAGTATCCTGCACCACTAAACTTGTGCATCCCATTTTGTCAGTCAAACTGAATGGTATGCCCCTGAAAATAGTGTGAAAGACACTTGGCATATTTTGAGTTTACATAACTCCAAAGTAGTTTTTATTTAAATATACCATAAACACCATGACACTGTGATTATTGAGCTTTTCAGTTCCTATCCAACGGATAACTGAATAGAGCTTGAAGACCTCTTAATCAGGCAAACATGACTTTCCTGCACATAATAACTCACAGCTAGATGGCTCCGCTATGTGTCAGCAAGAATGAACTGCAATTTAAACGGATTTTTCTTTCTGTAGAGCACATCTCTTGCCACCAGACGGCACCATGGGTTTAGTTATGTGCAGATGTGTTCCGCGGAGAACTCTTGGAGCAAGACCGGAAACGGTATCAAAATTTACAACATCATCATTGGGGTCGTGTCCCGAGTAAATAAATAAATAAATGAAAAAAATACACATATATAGACAAATAAAAGATGTCTGTGTTCAATTTTCTCTGAAATTTTTATTTAATTATTTTTTAATGTAACAGCAAATGAACATCTAAAAAATCTATGATTTATCGATGCATTTTATCATATATCTTCCAAGATAATCCCTTTTGTATAATAATTACCATATCATATTTATATACATATATAATTAATTGTTTACTGTAGTATAGTTATAATAATAAGGAGAAAAGTAAAAAATTAAGAAGAACAAAAACCAGGAAAAAAAAGTCAGACAGCTTTACCTTGAAAGCACCAACCGGAAGTTCCTCCGTCGTCCTGTTAGCTTCATTCGAGCTGTCAACATTTGCAGCGGCGAAACGTCCGAGCTGTCATAACAAGCGTCAGTCTGCCTGTTTCGCTGTTTCAGCCCACAGCCATGCCATCAAAATGATGCCCTAACCCGCGGACAATCCTCAGTAATTACCTTTAGGGGTTAAGCTTTACAGTCTTGAACGGGGATTACGATGTTTTAAACGGGGCTCGCTGACTGAAGAGCGGATTATAATTTCCTGCCCGAATTGAGTGTTAGTTGGTTTATTAGCGTGTTTGTTTCCTTCATCGTTGACTGGCCACACAAGACAACAAGGTAAGTTTTAGAGTAAAGTTATCTAACTTTTCTAACTGGCATCAGCGTGGTCACACTCAGTTGTGGCTTTTTGTGTGTCAGCGTGCATCACTCCGGGATGCTTTTGTCCGTTGCATGCCTGCTGCGTTCACTGACTCCGTTTTTGGTATACGCTGGTTTGTGTTGCTCACAACTTTTTACTTTGTTATTACTGTTCAAATACACTAAAGGTGTTTTTAGATGCAGTAAGTAACGATACGTATCGGGAGTTAAACTTTAAAATGATAAAGTGACTACGAGCGACCAGTTTGAACAAGTTTTATTAGCTTACCCCAGACTGTTATTTGTGATGAGGATAAGAGACTACACGGAAACCTTATGGGAGTTTTTTAAAACTTGTTACTAATCTAACATCTACAACGTGGATAGACAGAATATAACAATATTCCTAATTTCACATGAACTAGATTAACTGAGTCCATTTCACTCTGGTTATTGTTTTTAGATCATTCATCACCAACTAATGTATTAACACTTTAAGATATTTAGCTAAATAACATTGCAGAAACTGTAAAAGAAAAAGACATGCAAGGACCTAAAACACCTATATTTTTTAATGATATAGACAAGATTATTTACACAAAAAATAACAAAAAATTGCATAGTGATGTGGAAGCACGAGTGAAGACAGAAATAAAAAAATATATGTCTATTGCAAGGGATAATTTTGTCTTTACAAAAGGGCACTACTCATCTAACAAGAAAAATGTAGCGTGGTCTGGAATAGAGAAAACATGCTCAGACAGCTGAGAGGCAACATTTGCCTCTTCAGCTCCAGAGCCTCTTTTCCTAAAATATCAGAGGCATTCTTATTCCTCAGCCCTGTACTGTAAGCCTCGGTGTAAACCAGGAGGCAGCTAACTGTCCATGGAGTATACAAATGAAGCGGTAGCCAGTGGTAGATGAAGAGAAAACATCTGGCTCAGCCTGATGTGCACAGACCTTATAGGGAAGCTGCTAAACTAAATAACGTTCCTCGTGGTTTTGTTCCGATCGACTTTACAAAGAGTTCTGAGGGTTTTTTTTTTTTAAATGTATGCTTTGGCACCCAGTTGACTCATTTGCTCGGTTCGCCTGAGTCATATTTCACTGGCACAGTCCTAATGATGTCCACAGCCTTAAACCATTTGCCTGTTTTGGTTTGATTAAGACCAATTCACTACATTCCATTCGCTGCTGCTCCCTCCCACTGTATTCACATTTCTGCTCTCATCCACCCGTCGTGGTAACAGTTTTGTTCCCTCTTTCCCCACATATTCGACTCATTCTGGCAACTTGACCAGGCTTAAGCAGAGCTCTGTGCTATTAGCTCTTCCGTCTCACTCACATCCCTCCTTTTTGCCCTTAATTCACCACTTAGTTTTTTTGATACTCTTATGCCTGATTTCTTTTCTTTTCTTCCTACCCTCCCAGTTCTTTGTTCTTAATGTTTTGCTCCCATAGTGTCATGTGTGTGCCAGTGGTGTAAATGTTGCGGAGCAGTAACAATACCCCACCCTGCCCATCCCTCCCCAGACGCCCCTTTTGCCTCACAAGTTAGCATTCTCTGCTAACTGATGGGTTCATTATCATATATTTGAGGCTAATTACATTTACACTATTGTATAATCCGAACAACTTTAATGGGCTGATGAAACTTTAATAGAGCCGAATTCTGCGATCATTTCTCCTGGATTCCTTTTGTTTCTAACATATAAAGGGATGTGGGACGTTGACTGAAGCAGCTTTGAGGCTGCTCAGCTTCAAAGCTTTCACTCTGGTGTGTTTGCTTCCAGTTCATTTTTTGTGCGCAGGGCAGTTTTAATACCTGACATGCAGTGCTTCGTTTGGCTAGTCCCCACAGCTGTCCTTCATCTCGAGCAGAGGTTTGCCCTTATTGCTGTGTCACTTTGGCTGTCTGCATTGTGAACGGCTCCTTTTGTGTCTTCCTGCCCGTGATCCATCTCTAAAACCTGAATCAATTCTCTGCCTGTCAGGTGATGTTTCCATCAGAGTTTCCATCAGAAACGAATGCCTTTGATCGTGTGTGTAAAGGACAATACAGCCTTTGAAGAGGAAAGAATGAAAAGTAGTGTGACAGTACGTTCTACAAAGAAAAAAAGAAGAAGTTTTCTGTGTTTGTGGTATGAATAGGCGATTGTTGGGGGTAATTTTGTGAAATGCAATTAAACACTCTGCAGCTTTGCAGTGTGAAAACCTTAAGAAGCGGGGGGTGTTCAGGAGGGGCAAATGTGCTGAGTTAGGCTTCCCCGAGCTGCCTCTGAAAGTGGAAGGGAGGATTTCAAAGAATCGACGTACAAACTGCTCCCCTCTGGACTCTCTAAGCTAAAGCTAAAGCCTCTCTTCAGCTGAGGAGGAGGAAATGCAAACAGAGTAGAAGAGGTATTTATTTCCTGTAACAAATAAGGGGTTTTTGTTACCATGGAGTCCGAATATTTGTAACCATTTCGGCTGTTTGTTTGTTCTGATATTAAGAATGTTAAAACGCGTTTAAGTGTGTCAAAAAAATGTCACACTTCATATCTCACCAGAACTTTGGAGCCACACCCTTTAATACTGACTACCCATAATGCTCCTATTTCTTCTCTGCCATTGCCTCTGTTTAAATGTATAGAATCTTTTGCAAATTGAAAATAAATTAAAAAAGAAGATTTTAAGACAAATAAGATTTTAAGTCAGTGTGCACATCCATAGGTGAGTGTTGAGATGCCCTGTTTGGGGTTTAATTCTTGTCTTAGACGTCACATGGATCTTTTGCACAGGAAATCATTCACTGACAGTAAAAAATGTGTCTTTGTAACACTGTGTTATCGTTTATAACAAACAGAAAAAAGCTATTTATTGATGCATGGACCTGCTTGTGTTTCCTAAATAGAATAATTGATTATCAGCACAGCTTGGCTGGACTATATCTAACCTCTGTGTCTGTTTTCAGCCCCTATGCTTGAATTTGTCTCACTCACTGTGGTTTAACTGTTACACTGTTGCTTGACTGAGACTCTAAGCTTCAGAGGATCATTGACGAAAAACATCTGGGTCGGTCATGAGTTTATCAACTATTAGATGCCGACCAAATCTAACAGACTTGAGCTGTTTCTGCATGAATGTGGGTCCTCACGTTAACTTCCTGTCTGTTGGGGAGACGCAGCCGCAGCTTCCCTTTCTGCCACAGTCTGCTGTACTTTTCAGTCCAATGCAGCAGTTGCAGCAGACTCACCCCAGTTCATGACATCAGGGGTTTGCTGCTCAGGTTTATGTCTGTTTTCATCAGCGTGCGGTTACTCTGACAACTTCTCGCCTAAACTGACACACTGTGTCGCAACGCTGTTTTAGAGAGCCATCAAACATAATGAGAGGCAGTGGCAACTGCGGTAAATGAAACTGTAGTTTTCCCTCCGAGAGTAAGCTTAGAGAGCTCAAAGGGGGAAACTACAGCGTGTGCCGAGCTGGTCACATGTTATGATCGATGAGAGCATGCAAGAAAAACACTTAATAAGAAATCAAACACATTTTTAATCGTAAACTAGAAATATCAAAGGGACAAAGAAGAATTTTACAACGCTAACACCAAAAAGTGATCAGAGATTTTGTGGGAGAGTTGGTTTGTGTGAGCAGCAAAGCTCATTTGCGCCACTTATCTGCACTGTAAGAAGCCATCTTTGACCAATGAGATTCCACAGCTTAAGATGCTTCTTACATAATCTTTGTGATGGTGACGTTGCTGTAAGTTAAGCTCGTAGTGCTTTGCAACAATCATGGCCAGAAGATATAGTGAGTGAAATCGTGTTTCCTGTCGATTCATTTTCATCAAGATTTTTCTTTCCTCTAACCATGCAAGGCCTGTTAAGGTATGCATTTGTTTGTTTGTTGGTTGGTTGGTTCTTGTTTGTTTTTTGTTTGTTTTTTTTCTTTGGAGGGGGTGGGGGGTTATAGGTCTGTTGTGTTTTTTTGTTTTGTTTTACTTTATTTTGTAACTATTTTTGGTGCCTACTTTTTATATTTATAAATGCATTGTAAGCATAAGTGGGTCTGTGGGCTGCAGGTGGATTTTCTTTCTCTTTGCACGCTGTGCAATATCAGTCAGAGAAGCCACATGATTTGGTCGGATCATAGAAGACTAAAATGAACCATAATTGCACCTAACGCTTCTGTATGAACTTCAACAGGCTCCCGGTTGCTGCTTGTGTATATTTCAAATTTATTAAGAGCACTTCCTGTTCTGCTATATCGCTCCCATTTCTGTTGCTGTGACTAATCCTTCTTCTGAGCTGCTTACTTACTATATGTTGCTTTCCAGTGCATTACTACCCTATCAGGCCCGCTGAACCTAAACTAACAATTCATTTATTCACTCTTTTCTATCACTATTTGAGCTCCTGGTACAACCACACATTTTATTACTTGCACCTGTTTCATATTATAGTTTTGCTTGGTGGGCTCTGGGTGCACGCACAATACCAGCAGCTTGAAGAATAAAAGGCACTTTGTACATTTGCAGATGTATTTTGAGATTGACAAACATCATGCTTCTTTGCACCTTTCCTCTGTGACTAAAATAGATTGATGTAAAACCAAATAGACTATAAAGCTGCCTATTAAAATTCTACGAATAACTCTGTAAAAAACAATGCAGTATCCTGCTGAGTTAGATGCCCCTTTGCGTGTTTTACAAAAACTGGCGAACATCATTGGTTGTTTTTTTTCAGTGCGTGTTTTTCCCTGCGTGTGTTCCAGTTATGTCTCGTAGGAGTTCTCGCCTGCTGTCGGGTGGCTACTACAACTCAGATGAGGAATCTGACTCAAGTAGCGTGACAACCATATCCTACCGAGAGAACGCTGTCAAGTAAGAAGGGGTTCGTGCGTGGGTACGAAGCCCGGATGCCGGTCAACTACTCTAAGATTCACTCTGGTTCTTCCTCAGGGTTTTCAAGAAGAAGGCAGGCAACCGCAAGGCCGCCTCCCGGACCTCCAGTCGAGCCAACAGCAATGCCAGTTCACCAGACACGCCAGTTACTCCAGGCCAGTAACCCGGACATGCAGACACTAAACAACAGCCAGTAGCTCGGCCGTAATGATACGTTGGACATGAATGGAAAAGGGAGTGGCATCAGGGATGTTTCAGACCTCATTGAAATGTAGTTTTTATATCAAAGAGTTGTCCAGTTCGAATTCTTTGAAACCGTTTCTATACATATGTCAGCCATGATCAGAAGCTTATAGAAATAGAACAAATGAGTAATTCACAGAAAAGATTAGAGGAAAGTGGAACATAATCAGACAAAAATGCACCCCGGCTTTATAGTGCTGGTATGTTTATTCCTTCGATCCTCTTAAAATAGTCACCGCACGTCTTATGAAACCCATGTGACAGAAAAGAGGACACAACTGTTGTAGTTCATTGAAAAAAGAAAAAGAAAAATCTACATTGTGCGTATTCAGGTTCAAATTTTCAGGTAAATATCTATTTTTTTTGTGTGCGTCTCTCTGTCTTTTTCTACCTTACAGGTCCGAGTCTGTCTCCTCTGAGCAGCCCGGTCCAGCCCGCCATGAGGACCGCACCGTACGTGCCCGCCGTGGCCACGCCTCGACCAGCCCTGACGGCTCCGTCGTCCCGGAGTCAGACACCCACGCCGTGCCCATCATCCGTGACCTCGGAGAGGAACGCTCACGCCGGGCTGGGCAGCTCCAGCGCGGCAGGCCTGCACCTCAGGCCCGGCCACAAGGAGCCCACCCAGAGCGGCGTGGAGAGCTCGGGGTACTCCTCGTCCGAGGGCACCTGCAGGAGGCCTCCGCCCACAGCCGGCAGCACCTGCAGGGCCAGCTGTAAAAGTGGGGCTCCCAGCACTGGATACAAAAGCCGAATCAGCAGTGCCTTCTTTGGACTCATTGGTGAGAGCTTAGTTTGGTTTTTATGCGTGTCTTTGTTATCTGAGGGCATATTAATCCGGTTGTTTTCTGTGTTTTGGGCAGACTCAGCCTCTCTGGTGGCAGCTGTGGCGCAGTCAAAAGTGCGTCACATGACAGCTTTAGGTATGGTACCCATGCATATCTTCCGGTTTGTTTTAAATGTATTTGTTCACGTCAAACCAGCAGAGACCTCTAGAGTACGTTATTCTAATGATTTTGAGCGAGCGTCTGTGCATTACCGATCGCTCTCACATGCCAGAAAAGTTTATGTTTTCTCGAAAGCTTCATGTGATTTGGCTCTGGCTTATCCCAATCCCTGCAAATGAACTTTCCTCTTCTCTCCCCAGCAGCTAATACCTCACTCAGCAGGCGAATGAAGAAGACCTGTGGTCTAGTTCTCCTCTTCCTCATCATACTTCTATGTAAGTAAATATTTTGTGCTGTCCAGCAGTCAATGTTTCAAGAGACATTTTGGAAATGTTTCATCACTCGGAGACAATTAAGGCAATTGTTACGATATTCTTGGACAAAAAGTTCTTTATTCTCTGATCGGCGTTACTTTTTTTCATCTGTGTTATTTATGTTTGTGTATTTTAAGAAGAAGCACATGAGCTGACATTTTTAAACAGTGTGTTGCAGGATATTTTCGACTTTCAAAGCAGCATGCACACCATCTAAAGTGGTGATTGTGGACTTCAGTGGGTCACAGTGGAGTTGATCATGTCAGGGCCTTCGAACTTTGAGCCAAGAAATTGTGACTGTGTTTTCCCTAAGGTGCTTTCCCTCTTATTTTTCCAGGTATTTGGTTGCTCCTTCCTTTGTTCACCTCCTTCGTCTCCCACATGACTGTCACAAAGACCCCATCACAGACTAAAGCCAAGAGTCAGCCTGTTCTCCCTGCCACTCTTCCTCCTCAGGGCACCACCCCACCCGCACCTGTGGTGGTACGGCTCAACTACAGTCTGTCTCTGCCGCTTGGATGAATTAGCGTTTGCCTGTTGTGTGCGTGCGTGTGGTTTGGATGGATCAGTTACTGTGGGTTAATGATTGATGCCTCCCAGTCCTGCCAGCCGAACAATCCTGGAGACCTGCACAAAACTAATGTAACATTTTTCAATTTCTTACATTTGAGGCTGTAACTCAGAGAATTAGTGAATAGAGCAGCGATACTCAAGTGGTTACATTTGAACAACAGCAGACAGCAACGTCGCTGATGTGAGAGCATGTGTCAGACTTTTTGGCTCAAGCATTTGAAATTTGAGAAGCCCTGGTAGCATGAAGTTACATTTATAGCATTTGATGGTATTTTTCCATTGCATGGTTTGATTAAAGAAAAACACTCCTCTTTTTCTTTTATATTTCCCTTTTGAGGTTTTACCAAGTAAATCATACCAAACTATTTTTTTAGAATTGTTTTTTTTTTGGCACTAGGAGCCCCAAAAGAAGCCAAGCCAGTATTGTAAAGTTACTGTGCACACACCAAGCCTATTTCTTGTGTTTCACTTCCTCTATGAGAGCCGTATATTTTTCAGCATACTACAGAAATCAAGCATCTCTCATTTGCATCTGCCTGATGTATGCTGGATGCATGACTATTCATGAATATTCATTTACATACCAATATTTTTTTCTCTACTTATCTGCTATCGACTGTCGTTACGCTGAATCCTTTCAATCTGGTCTCAAGTTTTAGATTCTTCATCTACTCGTTAGATGGAATTACTTTATACATATCGATATCATGTCAAACATGCCATCCTGTTGAGAACTTCCAGTCCGCAGTGCCATGCATACCAGCTACTGGCAAAAAACCCCAAAATAGGGTTTAAAACATGATTATTACAACAAACCCGGCTTATTTTCACCTCACACGACAAAGTTGTTTCTTTTTCTTCATTTTCTTTGAATTAAAGTACCTTTTTTTCCATTCAGGATCCAGCTGTTGTCTCTGCAGCTGTTGAAGCAAAAATGCAGCGTTTTCTGGTAAGAAGACTGATATACGAATACTGCAAAACAATTTGTTGTTGCTTTACCTTGACTTTTTTTAGTATCAAACCAAGGGTTTTTTCAGTCTAACTCGTGTTTTTCTTTGTTGCAGGTGGAGCTTCAACTGAAGAACGAAAAGCTTCTCTCGCAGGTGAGATAATCTGTTCAATTTTCTTCACTTCTTTTGGAGCCTCAAGTCTAAAAGCTTAATTTGAAAATGCTGTATGAATTAGAAATGGTGCCTTTGGTGTGTAAACAGAGGAAGTTTTTGTTTTATTAGGTGGATGCACCAGCTAGCATTGTGAATTTACAATACTGTGCATCTCTTTAGAGATGTAAACTGAGAAAAATCACCTGTGCTAGAGGACCATCTAGTGGTGAAAATGTGTAACTGTGTAGAGTCCAAATAAAATCGTATTTTTGCATTACCGGTCTTGGAGGTAATTGTTATTATTATGTAAATCACCATGACACTGCTTACATTGAGCATCTAGACTTATTCTGCAATACTTGTTCTTATGGGCACTTTTCTTCAACATGTGTGGTTTGGCGATGTCATTTTTCCCTCAGATGAAGGAGAGCCAGCAGCTGGACATGCAGGTTATGAAAGCCAAGCTGGAGGCAGTGGATTCAGACGTCCGGCGTCATGTGGAGCAGGAGGTTGCTGGGCTGGTCAGGCAGGTGGCAGATTACCAGACGGACAGCCGCTCTGCTGCTGCCAGCCTCAGCCTCCAGATCAACACGTTGGAGACCCAGAATGCCAAGGTGACAGTGCTGATGTACCTGACTGGATGATTCCAAGATTTTGTGTTGTGTGCCTTCTTTTCCTCTATAAACATTTTGTCATCCATGTTGTTGTCTCACAGCTTTCGCAGGAGTTGTCCTCCATTCAGCTAATGCCTCCTCCAACTCCTTGTCCTGACGCCAGCACAGCCCCAGCCCAGAACCAACTCACCCCAGAGCTCCAACAGGCCATGGAGAAGTGGCTCTCTGACCGCATCAAGGTAGCCCGATAAAGATAGTCTATGAAGGCCACTTCAGATTAGTTGACAGAAAAGGTCGCCATCTCCACTCTTATCACCAGCATTTGCTTTCCTCATGACGCAGGAACAGGACGCTATCAGGCTCAGGGACAAAGGAAGCTGTGCAGAGTGTGTTCGTCCCATGGCAGACAAAATGGCCGACTTTGCCCTGGAAACTCAAGGTAAGAAAAATCTATCTGGTATCAAGATATTACCATCCACGTTTTGGTCTGTCTGCTGGTTTTTTGACAAATTTTACTGGTGTATCATAATCTTGTAAATACAAAGTTACTGGTAGTTGATGGATATTTAAAAAAAAAAGTTAATGTTAATTGTGGACAACTTTTAGTTTTTTTGTTTGTTTGTTTGTAGGTGCTAGCGTGATCAGTACCAGGTGCTCGGAGACATATCGCATTCGCTCAGCATGTGTGACCCTCTTTGGTTTCCCTCTCTGGTATCCATCTGAAAGCCCACGCACTGTTATTCAGGTATGATGACCATCTACCTTGTTTTTCTTCTTATCCTCCACGTAGGGTACCTTTTAGAATTGGAAGCAGTTCAACTCAATGTCAGTTTTTTTTTTTTTTCATAGCATGGTCCTTATCTCTCTTCTTTCCAGGGATACCCAGTGCTGCTTCCAGGGAAGTGTTGGGCCTTCCATGGGGTCCAGGGTACTCTTGTCATCTCTCTGTCACACCCTATCAGTATAAGTCATGTGACACTGGACCACCTGCCACGCTACAACTCCCCAACAGGCCGCATCGACTCTGCGCCCAAAGACTTTGAAGTCTACGTGAGTGCTTCTGGTTTAGGGATGTACTGCATTGCCACATAACTGTGGATGGTTCACAAACATACTTAAGATCTGTTCACTGTAATGGTTCCATTTTAAAGGCAAATTTAGTTGATAAGAATCAAGCTCTTATATGATATGTAATAAAAAGTATTCCATTCAAGGTTGCTTCCGCTTGCTAGTGTTGATACAGTTCTTGTTTTTTTGCCTCAGGGAATGAAGAATGACACAGAAGAAGGAACACTGCTTGGGACGTTCACTTACGATGAGAATGGAGAGTCAACACAGACATTTAAGCTCCCTGTGAGTTCAAAGTGAACCCCACAAATCCCTGTTTATTATCAAAATGACAGAAATGTTTGAAGTTGTGTAACTATCTTGGTCAGCACTGTTTTTAATACCAACGTCTTTTCTCTTCTTCGGTTCCTCTCTCTTGCCTGTTCTTTTGCCTGTTCTTCATTCTCTCACGCAGAACCCGAGTGAGGCGGTTTATCGGTTTGTGGAGCTGCGAGTTCTCAGTAACTGGGGTCACATCGAATACACCTGTCTGTACCGCTTTCGTGTTCATGGAACGATCGACTCCACATGAGGCACTTAAAAATTAGCAAAGAGAATTAGACTTTACTTTTGGTCCGATGTGTTCAAGAACAAATGCTACTGAAAAATTAAGTATTGACGGAAACTATTCCGAGGTGACAACCATGTCTGTCAGCTGGTTTTGATTTTTTTTTTAGTACAGGAAGACATTAAACAATATAGATCTCAAAAACTGTCTTATGCAGTGCACCTTTGGCTTAGAATATTTCAAGAATAGATGTACAATGAATGTCTAAAAAGCCAAAAAACATGTGGGAGTTTGAGGTTCTGGTAACTTTATGCTTTCAATACTACGAGTGTGCCATTAGATATTTTCAAATTTCAGTCATTATTAATTTAACTGTATTTATGAAGATTTTCCTGCTTCATAGTGCTACAGCGCACAATCTTTTGTAGAAAACTGCCTTCCCAGTGGTACTTTAACACTGATCCTTATTTATGAAGGAGGTTCTGGGGTTTACAACAGCAGCTGGTCAATCATTACAGTATCTCTCAGGGCTTCCTACTACTTATGAGAAAGTTTTGGGGTCAAATATTTTAAGTAAAGAAATAATTTGAACTTAATTTGTTCTATTATTTTTTGAACACCTCAGAAATTTTTGTTTGGTTTAGTTTGCTAAATGAATTATGAATGTCTTTTCAATAGAGCAGCCTTTTGTTGTTATGATTTTTGTGAATGATCAGTATTGTTTTTCAGTTTTAGTAATAAGAAAGGTAAAAAAAAAAGGATATTTTGTTTTCTTTCTAAGAGAGCTTCAGCACATCACTCGTGTTTTTATTTTCAGTCCTTGAATACTTGAAAACTTTTTACGTTCTCTTAACTTAGACGTCATACTGAACACATTTTTTGTACCTGGTTTTTCACTTTGTATTAGCTGCTTAGCCAAGAAGAAAAAATTATACATAAGTATTTCTAACAGATTTTATTTGAAGGATCAGAATAACAACAGTTGGTACATTTTGAAATTTTACACATGATTAACTATTTATGCAACGTGTGTGGACACAGTGATATATTTTTTTTTCAATTTCCTGTTTACTTTCACTGGTCCAGCTAGAACTTGTTAAATATCTGTTAGACACAGATTGAGCTGAGTTAATTACAGCCAACATAGTTTTTGATTCAGTGTTTGTTCTGTTTGGTCTAAATAATTGTCATGAAATGAGGATATTTACAGTTAGGAAAAAATATACAACATATCATAAACATGCATTTTCTGAAAATATTATTATACAACTGAAAGTATTTTTTGGAAAGTGTTTCAATATTTGTTTGATGCTTTAGGTGTATATGAGTGAGGTTATGATTATGTCACCATAACATTTGTGCTTTTATCTTAAATCTGTTTTCTCCATTTAAACTGGAAAAAAGACTAATATATTTAAGTTAAAGATTTTTGGACTGAAAACATTTGTTTTCATAGGTAAAATGTTGTAAAACAACTCTTTTTGCTTCTGCTTTGGCCCTTTTTTATTTCATTCATGACCATATAATTAATATTTTTTGCTTATATGAATGTGTACGAGGTTCATTTTCTCCATCAACGTATTTTCAGGTTGATACTAAATGCCAAAAGATGTGTATGTATCTTTTCAATGAAAATATAGTCATTGCTCTTTGATATGTTTAATAAAACATCATAACACATGTTGTATATTTCTTGTTGTCTAATGCTGACCTCTTATAATACGATACAATATAATAACACATGTATACATACACACACATATATACATATATATATATTCACACAGACTTAATTCCTGAATTAAACCCTGAATGTAGATACAAGTAATGATACAAAACTAATTAAGAGGAACTTCTACTGAGAAAGAGATAATGGAAGCATGAATGATGACCAAATTGGGAATAAGCAAAGTATTATCATGAAACTATTATGAAACAATCAGCTCAAGTTGTGCTTTTGTAAGCGCTTGTCCCAGACAGAGTCTATTTTTCACAGTGTAAGCACTTGAGCAACACATTGCATTGGATTTCTCATTTGCCTTCCTTGCATCACCTTTCTACAGAGTAGAGTTGCATCAGTGAGATGAAAAATCAACAGCAATGCAACTGTACATAGACTAATACCCACAGGAACACGTGTGGTTCTAGTTGGTTCTTCAAACTGCCACACACCAAATGAAAGAGATGAAAAAGCAGCCTCAGGCGACCGAGGCAGATGTCTACAGATTTTTACAAAATCCACACTGTTGGCTATAACAGGTTATCTGAAAACACTTCACACATTTTCTGTATCAGTAAAATGTTCCTAAGATGTATTTTCTCACTATTAGGGGCTTCATAAGTATGACCTGCATGGATACAAAAGAAGCCAGTCTAACTCCAGCTAAACACGCCCCTCGTTGTGTATCCAAACCATCCAATCGCTGAAGACATCCAAAGTGTTTTTTAGTGATAATAACTGGCCAATCAGAGCTTACTTTAGAAACTAAAATGCAAAACGATGGTTAATGACCCCTCAAAAACTGTACTAAAAGTGTTCCTTGTGGGCTGAGTTGCAGACAGAAAAGGCATTAAGGTAAGACAGTTGATGTTTGGTTTTGTACGGAGTTTAAACTGTAGAGCAGAAATTAAATATAGCAGGAACTCTCTGTGGATTGAAATTTTGTGATCTTTTAATCACTTTTTTTTCTGACAGCAATCCTCTTTTTCCAGCATCAGCAGTTCCAGCCTAAAATGTTCAACACCAGCAGCCTGCGTGAGAACTCCTCCACCACCGGGGATGGTCCTCCACCCTGGTACCAGTTTGCAGTTTGTGCGGTCGCTCCTTATGGCTTTGTGTTCTACTTTGGGGTCAAAGTGTTTAACTTGGCTGTTGGGACGCCGTGTAACATCCTGGTCATCTGGCAGATTATTTCCAAAAAAAGTGACGCGTCCACTTCGGACAACTTCTTTTTTAACTTGGCCATTCTCGATGCCTACTTCTGCTTGATGACCCCGGTGGACATGGTCAACCGGCTAATGCTGGACAGTGATGGCATCTGGTACTTTCAGAGATTTGCATATGGTGTCAAAGATGTGGCACCCCTCTTTCTGGTAAGTTTTGAAGTTTTTTTTTAAAAGTTCACAATTCTCATTTTATCAAATGTCTTCAACAATAGCGCAATTTCACAACATATAAGTTCAAATTCTTTGCACATAGATATAAAAAGAGATGACAAAACTTAATATGTGGTTGCATATGTTTATGGTTATTTAACTGTTAAAATGACAAAATGTATATAAATCATCATTTGTTCTCGGTAGTCATAAACAGAATTCAAACATAAATTTTGTATTATTAAGTATGTTTGTTTCGTGTGAGTATTTTCTTTTTAACAGCAAAGATATATGACTTGCAGCCTCATCAGGGAACTTGTAGATGCATTGTGGTAGAAGCACCATGGCATAATCTTCCTTTCTTATCTACAACCACAGGTGTGCATCAGTATGGATCGCTACATGGCTGTGGTCCATCCAATCTTTTTTTCAAGCTACAGAGACAACATGACCCGCATCTGCATCTCCGGAGTCGTCTGGGGCCTAATACTGGCATACGCCCTGATGAAGTCCATAAAGGGAGTCATGAGCGTGAATGGTTTCTTCAGCGGCATTATCCTCTTTGCATTCGCGGTCATGGTCTTCTGCAACGCGTCGATTATCTGGGTCCTCCGCCGCTCTGTGGTGGGAAAGGAAGTCATGCATCCAGTGAAGAAAAAGGCCTTTAAGATAGTGCTGATAAACATGGCCATCATTGTGATCAATTACCTCCCACCTGTGGCACTCATTCCCTTTGTGTCATACTACACGTTTGTGCAGTTCCGTTGTCAGATCAGCATTAGTGTGTTCTCCATTATGGATCTGAGCTGCAGCATCGAGCCCCTCCTCTACATGACCAAGATGGAAAGGATGCAGGGACAGTGCTGCGGAAAGGCTATCCCTCAAAAGCCATAATGCTAAAATGCTAAGCTTTGGTCGAGCCGTTTGCATATGATTTGTCAGGCATTTCTAAAATGATTAGATAACATATCATAGCTTGATTAAAAATGCCCCCCCATCCCGTTTCTTGCTTTGAACTAAAGCCATAGAAACATAGAAGATAGAAATCATCTCCCGTCACAGTCCATTAGACTGCTGGTTAACACTTACACATTAAAGACAAACCATACCGCTTAAAGCAATACTTGTGTGTTTATTTCACAGACAGCCTCAGGCCAGCATGCCTGCTTTACAGACTGCTGTTTCAATGCAGTTATTATTTTAGGTACGCAACCATAAAAGCCAGTGAGACCAATTAGTGCAATTAGTGGTGCTTTAATGAGATGTTATGTAGCTAATACAAGACGACATATTTCTAAGACTGTAATTAATTCAGGTGCAATACTGAGAGCAATGACACGACAATTTAGTCCAGTTGGGGTTCATTTATTTAGACTGCAATAACATTATTTGTCCCCTTAGGGAAAATTATAGTATCATTCAATTCAATTAAAAAAATAAAAACAAAAGTGCAAATTTACAAATAATTATAAGAAATAATATTTTCAGTGCAATGTTATAAAAGCAATTGATGTCCATTCACATATGCTAAACTCTGGAATGCTGTTATTCTTATTAAAAAATGCAATCTTTAATCTAATGCTCATATACTTGTTGGTACAAAGCAATGATTGACTAAAACATAAAGAAATGGACTAAAACATGTTTGATTGTTTATTAAGTAAGAATAATTAGAAGAGAGACTAATATCATTCCAAAGAATGAATAAAACTCTCTGAAACTGTTTTAGTTGTTAGTGATTTTAGTGAGCATCCTCCTGAGGGACTCGGAGTTGGCCTCAGGTCCATCCTCTGATGTGACGTATCCGGGATAAGTGGAGTGAAACTGGGAACATGGTGGTTTTGTGGAGTCACCTTCTGCCTCTGATGAGGACAGACACAGTGGTATCAATTTGGCATGAGCGTAGTCTATCTCAAAACCCTCAAAAATGAGGCCCACACCCCAGGCTCCCAACCCCTCCTCAAGGAGGTGCGACACCTTTCTGGTGGCCAGCACCAGTCCCTCATAGTCTCCTCTCTCCAGCCTGAAGATGTCAGAGGTCAGGGGTGAGCGTGGCACTACCACAGTGAAACCTGGGGAGTTGGGGAAAGGAGTGAGAAATGCCACGTGACGCTTGTCCTCCCACACCCGCCAATGCTGCTCCTCCCCACGCACGATACGTGAGAAAAGGCCAGGGTGAGCGGGGTCTTCCCCGAGGAAAGTCCGATCGGGGGGAGCATCAGGGACTGGGAGCCCGGCTCTTATCCTGGTCTGGATATCAGTCAGGTTAAGGTCACTCCATCGAGGGGCCGACTTCGAGGTGCAGTATCCCGGGTCATGAGAGTTGTGCTCCTCTTCTCCTGCTATGTGAGGGCGCCAGTCATCGTCCAGACCATGGAGGGGGAGGACACGGATCTAAAGAGACCACAGCGGATACTGTGATCAGCCAGTAATTTAATAGTGCAGTGCTGTTTTATTACTACAAAGACACAATCAATGCTTCTGAAAAGACACTGAAAAGCTTGAATGCTGTTTAGCGACTAGTTGTAGAGCATAAGTAAACTAACCTGGGCAGGTCTGTCTTTGTGGGGTCTACTGACCAGAGCACACCTTCGGACGGCCAGTCTGTCACACAGCAGCTCTGCTACACTTCTTGCCCCTAGCAGCCAGGATAGGTACTGAGACTCCTCTAGCTGGAAGATGCTGCCTCCCGGGCTACCGGGAGTCCTGCTTTCAATGATTACAGAGCCTGGGGTCCAAGGCCGGGGGTTAAGGTAAGCCACCAATCCCTCCGACTCCCAGACGATGTGACGATGAAGAGCCGAGGACATGCTGTAAGACCAGGAGGGAGAGGACAAATAAAAGGACACATATGAGGAGAAAATATTATTACCTGAAATTTCCATCGTAAATTAAATCATAAGATGTAACAAAATGGTCAGATTTCCAAAACATACTGTAAAATATAATGCTTGATCATTTTGAACATACTGTTATAAATGTAGATTTGTATGTGTTGTTTATTGATGAAGGCTACAATAAAAAGTAATGAAAAATGTTGTATTCATGTAGCTTTTACAGGTCCAGAACATGCTGATTCTACTGCTACATGACCAACAGGAAAGATATTTAACTTTTTAATTTTTTCTTTTCTTAGAAACACTGTTTACTGTGTTATAATCACATGTGAAAAACCAAAAAAACAAAAAGGATTCTGAGGACCTTCTCTGAAGCTCCCTTCAGAATGTCCACCATAAAATATAACCGTGTAGTATCCTTCAGGAAATTATTTCTGGGACTGACATTTTTCAAAGAGTTGCTTGTTCACAAGTAATCTATATCATGGTTTCACGTTACATTTAAACAATTATAACCGCACTTTACACCACAAGAAATACCGAACTTGACGCTGAAATGTCATGCTGCCCGCCTCTAAACAGAACATCTAAACAGCTAAATCCTGTCAAGCCATCCCCAACATCATCCATGTAGCTGTTTATAAATTTCTATTTGGTTTCCTGTCCAGATGACCTCACCCCAAATCCGAGTCACCCGCATGTGACGTGAGGCGTTTTAGGTCATTTACCGAAAGGGGGCCACGTTTTCTCACTTTAATCTAGACTCAAATGTTATTAATTTATGTGATTTCCTATTTTGTTAGCCATAACTATAACAATTAAGAATATTTATAGTTATGGCTAACTATAAATCGCAAGTTATTCGCATGAGAGCTGCTTAAATGTCTTTACTTCAGTTTCGTTTCGCACTTGCTCAACCTCGGGAATAATGTCGTTTAGCTGAAATTTCCAGCTAAAATTATAAATATTAAATTACATGGGTGGTCTAAAAGCGTTGCCTTGCCTATGCACAGTACACCACAGTGCTCCTGCTGTCTAACGGGTCACGAACACGGGACAAGTTTACGCAAATTGACTTAATTGGCCTACCTTCGAAAAGCTAACCTTGTCAACAGCATAAAGTTGTTTCTACAGAACGTCTAACCGACCTGTCCTCTTGTAGTTCGGGCAGTTTGTAGAATAAGGTTGTAAAATATGCACAAGCAGCAACACACGCTGCTACGGCAGATGATCTGAGCCACATAAACCGGTGATTCTGAAACTGCACGACAGTTCAGTGCCTCTACTTCCGCCTCGTTTGAAACCTTTTTCTTCTTTTACTAATAACTATGTGAACAGAGTGGCAAGACGCATTCCCGCCACCTAAAGGTAGAAAATAGAAATGCATTTTTCTGCACACGAACATTTTCATACTTGTTATCGTTTTGACTCGAAATTATCACAATATCATCCTAGAACCCATATCCAAGAGAACCTGAAAATGATTATTGTTGGTTAATTTGTTTTTTTTCGTCAAAGATAATAAGAATCTTAAAACACCTTGGTTCACCCATTTTCGATAAGGGCATAATCTAATTCTGGTTTAAAGTTAGGATGGAGCCTACCCCAGTTTCCATTTGATAAAAAGCAGGCTGCACTATGGATGGATCATGTACAAATAAACAGCTATGCAGAGGGAAACCATACGTACATCATGTAAACTCCACACAGAAGAGGCTGAGCCCATAATGCTGTGGGTTGACAATTGTAACGAACTACGTCACCATTTTAAGAGTCAGCCTTAAAATCCCTGAACCCTGACATTCTAATGAGATCATGGAAGTTTACATTTCCTCAAGTCAAACAGAACCACTTACTAATTAAAGGACTGGAATTAAAAAAAATGTTTGCTACATTTTAACAAATAGATAAATATGATAAAGTAAAAAAAATTATGAATGTGCCATACCACGGAATTGTGTTATTCTTAACATTTAAAAGTATTACCTGCTAACTATGTAGTGTTGCAAAAAGATTCATTTTTATTGTGGGATATATGTATATATAATGTATGATTATATCATTAAAGTGAAATTTAATTGAATATTTACAATATGTTTGTGGCCATCAAATGTAATCACTTACATAATAATACTAATAAACTGAAATAGAAAATTCTTGCTTGCAGCTTTAATACCTGACATCAGAGGGAGCTATTGCTCTTCAGAATTGTTTGGGGTTTTTCACACCCTATTTTTCCAGGTTTGCAACATACAGTAGTTTCTATTGAGTTACCAAGACCTGAAATTACCCATTAATGACACACACATACTATAAAATGTACCATTTTTCTGAGGAAAACCCTGATTTGCACAACTTCCCTATATCCTAATCTATAATTTAACCTCCTAGCGGCAGGAGTGTGTCAATATATAATAAGATGTAGTCGAAAACAGCCTTCTAAACAATGTTTAGTAAGTTACATCTGAATATGAGCACCATGATGTCCATGACAGTCTCACATTAAGTAAAGAGAGGTAGAATGAGCAAACGTGTCCCACTTTCAAGGAGTAAATCTGTCTCCTTAATCTGTAGCTCATGACCTCAGTAATGAGCTCAGCTGCTCAGAGATCCTCTGTGGACGATATCAGCTCATGACCGGCACAGTGACTCACCGAGGTCTGCAGGGCAGCGTGTCAATCAAGGTGAAACCTAATAGGGGAGTATAAAATACCAATTTTTTTTTTTTTTTTTTTGGTGAAAAGAAGCACAACCAGTGGTTTCTGCTTTTTTGTATTTAAAAGAGCAGCACAGTTCAAATTTACATCCCTTCTATCTACATGTGTTACAGTAAGGAGTAGTTTAGTAGCCTTGAGTTTCACTCAATTGTGCAAAGCAGTGGTGTAAAGCAGGAAAACACATTGCATGATTTAAAGGACATAATACAACAAACCAACCCACAAACAAGGACTGTAAGAGGAATTGGGAGAATGTGAGTAAAAATGAAAGAAGACACCGAAAGCCATTGCACTACCCCTTGGGTCATGTGTAGGTTTTCACTTTAGGAGGATCGACGATGTAAGAGACACAGTGTGTTCAGTTCAGGAACTAACAGAAAACCGTAATAATCTATAGATAATAATGATGAATCCCTTGGGTTGTTTTTTTTTACCCAGTATGGTCAGAGGTTTCTTAAAAACATTCAAAGAAAAGGCATTCACATGTTTGCAAATACAACTGTAACAAATAATGTAACAATCACATAGATTATAAAAAATCTTGCTTCCTTAACGCTCATATCACTTTTTGAAGTGCTTGATCCATATATACATACATGGAAAGTGAAACATGAAACAAAACTGAAGTCTAACTTCTTTACGATGCATCCAGAAAATACACTGTGCGCCAACTTTTTCCAAAATAACCACATCCACAGGTTGAGTTCATACAGGATTATCCACTACATGGGGTGGAGTTAACATTAGTCAGGAATAGAGCTGTGAACAGTCACAGTGTGTCAAATTGCTTGGCTATCGCTGACTTCCTGTACAGTACAAAAACTATGAATAGCCTTCTGGCCTTACTAGGGTTCACTCATTTAGAAGGCAAATGCCACAAAGTTCATAGTATAGAGGAAATACTGCTGAGGACTGTCCAAGCAGTTTATGAGCTGAAAAGCCAGCTTTACAAGTCACAACTGGTTTTACTGGGTTTGCTCTGAACAACATATGGAAACCATTTTGCAATGGGATGTTACCAGCCACGGTGCAGAGGTTCCGTCTCTGAAGTGCTTTGCAATCGTCACTATATCATTAGATGAGTACTTTTTACTCATGGGTCAGCCCACCACTCTGCATCAAACAGATCTGTTCACACATTTTCTACTGACTTGCTGTTGAGAGGATGTCTCAAGGTCCACATTTACACACGGTGACACGGGCACAGACTCAACAGCAGCACACGCTTATACGGAAGAAGGCTTCGGTCTGTGGGAACTAATGTTAACACACCTTGTACCTACGCTTTATGAAGGTTATTGTGCTTATTATGGCACACTTTCTGCTTAGGATAGACCAAATATAAATAGATTCACAGTCTCAGGTGCTACTATGAGGGCATTGTGACACTGAAAGCAAATGAGCCAATAATATGCAACCACGTTAATCATGTCAATGGGATTGTGCAAAATCTTTTAAAAGAATTTAAAAAACACAAAACAAAGTTGTAAGTTTGTAGCAAAATAAAGAGAGTATGTCATTCTCCAATGTGTATACCATTAACAGAGCAGCTTGTTGTGTGAAAACAAGCGTACACCAGTGATTTTGGAATGGAAATGCCATGGACGGACACATGACTGCACATGAATGTCCCCACAGCTGTCTTTGCCTGACTGCTATAAAGTGTCTGCGGTGTGAAACAAATGAACCGCCTTTATCTTCTTTGCCATGAAGGAATGTGCAAAGACAGGAATGATCCGTGCTGGTTTCCCTCACGCCATCACACCCATCGCCTTCCTCATCAGATGCTGCACAGCAGGAAGAGTTTCAGTCAGAAAAAGCTAAAGTGTAGGCCGTTTCCTGGATAGCCACAGGATAGAGAGTCACAAATAAGTTTTCAGATCAACTTCTCAGCTGTGAAAGGTCCACGTGCAGCACGTTTCAAGGCTTCACTTACAGTAATTTGACTCCGCGTGTTTGTAAAGCTCAACTCCACCCCGCACTCATGAGGTGGAGATACAACTTTCCAAAGCGTGTACTCCCTGCCCCCGCTATAAATCATGCTGACACTTGCTCAGTGCTCAAGTTTGAATTCTTTGTGATCTAATTTTCCTTTCACAATACGCTGTATTTTTTACTCTGACACAGAATAACGCTTTCTTCCTTCTTCAATAGCTAAAATAACCAGCGACCATCAACATTCATTGAATCAGTTGCTGGTATTTTCAATTAATCTGTCCATTTTCTGAAGTCACTTGTGGCCTTAAGATCAGTCATAGTAAAGCTACAATCTTCTGTGTTTTCACCTCTCTTTCCTTACAACTGATTACTGAGAAATCTGTGAGGCAGGAGTGTGTGTGTGTGTGTTAAGTGTGTGTTATGCAGGTGCCAGACAGTATTATTGAGTCAGTTTATGCTGGAATCGTTCTCATTTGCTGTCATTCCACTCCAAGTGGGATTCCTGTAATTACCAGAATATGACAAATGTACCTTTATGATCTCATGATCAGCTTTGATAATGAAGATATTTCTTGATTCGGTCCATAACACGTCAGACACACACGCTTGGCACCACACAAGAAGTCTGTGTTTCATTCCTCCCCCTCCCTCAGTAACAGCCACCTGTGAAGGTCACTATGTGAGAGACTTGTCTGGTTTCGGAATGACAAGGACCTTCTCATAAAAATAACCCAGCTGTTTCTCTTCTTTACCCTTTTTTCCTCTTTCTTATTTCCTGGAGCAGTGTTTTGAGCTCCAGGTGCACATGTGACCTCACTTCTACTCTGTGATTGAGCTTTACAGGGTAGCTGAGTGGAAAAGTCCTCATTTAAGTAGAGTAGCGATTTCATTTTCTGCTTCATGCTGATATTGAGATACAGAAAAGGTATTGGGGTTTGGACTATCTTTAACAGGTATTTGTGCCAGCTCATGGCACCTCCTAAGACCAATTACAAATTTTAATGTAATAAAAGTTTAATGACTCATGAATGGAACGTGTGTAGTTGAACAAATTGTGTTTGAACATCAAAAGTGAGTTTTTGGGCAGTGTCAATTGTTACACTGGTTCTAACACCGCTATCTCAGCAAAATCAAGAACATCCTAGCAGTGATGCTTTTCACCATGTCATTTTAGTTTTTAAAAACCAGCTCTTATCGATTTTTAAACAGCATCACTGATGTTGCTTGGTGCTGTTCAAAATGTTATTCAATTATACCACTTGTTTAACAGAAACAGATAATCACTTATAACCTAATATTCATTTTTAGTCCAATCATATCTCCAAATTTCAATAATTATAAAAAAAAATACTGTACATGGATGATTTTTCTACTGCAGTGACTTCAAGTTCTAACTACACTCACACTTGTTTTGCCCTGAACAGGTCACATTGTCTGTTTAAGAATTCTTTTCAAGGCCCTAGAACTGTTTATTGAAGTATAAAGTGGATGAACCAGTTTTACTCCTGACTCATGCTTCAGTTGTCTTGTTTAACTAGAACTTCCTCCAAAAGCTTACGTCCTCAAATGTCTATTTAGATTAATGCTTTCGTAAATCTGAAAAAAAACAAAAAAAAACACATTGCTTGAGCACTACCAGATATTTATTAGAAAAACAAAAAGCAAAGTGTTTTACAGGCCAAACACCAGAGCTAAGAGTCAGTGATGAAAAGCTCAAGATATATCTTTTTCAGAATTAAATAAAAGCCACACTCTGCAAGCGAAGGAGAAAACTATTTACACACAACACTCATGTTGACAGTGTACTAAGAAAAACTTATTTAGGCCGAGGCCCCTTTCTGGACTTTGAAGCTGTGAGACGATCAGAGGGGTGACGTTGGGTTAAAGAAAAGAAAAAAAGATTACATGGTACAAGAGGTTTTTGTCACTTTATCAACACTTATTTTACCGATCTTGGGTCTGACACGGAATTGATGGGAGTGTAAAGAAAAAAACTTTTTCAGTGAGTTATAGACTTACAACACTACTGGGAACTAATCACTACTACAAATTCTTAGTCTACAAACCCACAACATGTTTGCACATGTACATGTTGAGTCGGAGTATAAACGTGGATCAAACAAGGGACTGAGAGACAAGCATGTACAGATGCTTCACCTGACCAACTCTCAGCCCCCTGCTCTGAACTAATCTCAACCATCTTAAGCCTTTCACCCGGCTATTTCACTCATCACTGTTCAGTTCCACATACCCAACCTTCAAGCTCCCGAAACCTAACCATTCTCCAAACGATCCATTTGCTTTGCAAATGACCGGTGAAGCAGAAAAGCTACATCTCTACTCTGCCATCTAAGCTACTGAGCTGGTTTTTCCACGGTGGTGCTTTCGTACTTCCTCCATCAGGTCTTTGAGGTACTGGATCTCTCTGCTGATGGAGTCCGCCTTCTCTTTCAGCTCGTGGTTCTTCTTCTCCAGCTCGTCGCACTCTACGTTCAGCAGCTCCTGCTCGACTCTCTTCTTCTGCCGGTAACGGGTGGCTGCCGTCTTGTTCTGTTCCATCTTCTTCAATTTCTTCTCCACCTTGGGAGCGCCGGACACTGATTTAACCTTAGGGGCCTTTGGGGAGGGAGACGCTGTTGGCTCTGGTTTGCAGTAGGGTTTGGTCCTGGAGGAACCAGATGTTGGGGAACTGAGCGGGGGACTGGGATGACGTGCAGGCGAGCCGACAACGGATTCTATGCCGGAGTCGCTCTCGCAGTCACTTGACTGCGAGATTTCGATGGACTGATCGGGGAGAGAGGGGGCTCCTTCGTTAGCAAGAACAACCACAAAGTGACCGGAGGTGGGAATGGAGAGCACAATAGGGTTGGAGGCCTGAAGGATTCTGCTGGGATCTTGGATGATGGTCGCGGTGAGGGAAGACGCTGTTTTCTCTGCATCCTGGACATCGACTTCACTCCCGAGCTCCAACGTGAAAGCTGGACAGGAGGGGGACGCAGGTTCCGACTTCACAACAACCTCCGGGACAGGAGCCTCCACCTCAGCCAACAGACTGGTGTCTACCTGGAGGGTAGGAATGCCAGGCAACATCAGATCCACGTCGTGATCATTTGGCTGGACATCAATGGGTGTTTCCAGGGTGTCCAGATCCACTTGAGTGTCCAGAGAGGTCAAAAGATCTTCTGGGGAGCTGGGAGACTCGGACGAGCAGGATCCAATGAGAGAATCCAGGTCGAAATCACTCAAGTCAATTTTCTCTGACATCCAATCCATGCCTTCAAGAGGATCATCTGCAGATAGAAGCGTTGAAAAAGTTAATCATATTTGAACATTAAGTTATATAGTTCCTAATTTAATAATTGGAACTACTTCAAACAGCATGTATGAAAAAACACAAAAACGAAAGCCTCACCTTTGCCATCGTCTGCTCTGACATGGGCGTCGAGCAGATCGCTGGCACCCAACAGGGAGAAGGACAGCAGGTCCGTTTCAGCCTTGGTCCCAAGGAATGAGGAAGAGTGAGTGGGCGGGGGGGAGGGAGGTGGGGAGCCAGAGGAGAGTGGGGAATATGACAAGGTCTGATAAGGAGAAGAGGATGTATAGGAGGAGAAAGAGAGGGAGGGCGAAGCTGGTGCCTTCACCTTTAAAGAGGGAGAAAGAGCTTCTTCATCATGGTCCAGAAGGGGCCCCATGGGGTCAGCCATCAGAAATGAGGGCTCTATACACACACACACAAAAGAAAAAGTCAGCGTAAGATCAAACACATCATGCATCACATCATACATGATGAAAAACACACGGCCGCCACACCAACCTAAGCACAGGGCCTCCACGTCCTCCAAGTCCAGCTGGGACAGTGTCATAGCTGCTGCTGGTCTGTGGTAGTCGTGAGAAAGTGTATACGGAGACTGGGAGGTCTGACGACGTTATCGAGTCGAGGGGTTCGGTACTGCTGTCGACGGCAGCAAAGCTGAGGGTGGTTGCCGAGAGAGACCTGTGAACAACGCAAAACCCATGTTACAGGCAGAAAGTCAGAAAACATAGATGGCCTGTATGGTTTAGAGGGCATCGTCACAAGCAGAGACGAACACTTTAATCTAAAAATGATCCTCAAATGGTAATCAAGAAGTAGAAGCAATGTGTACGAAAAAAAACCCCAACAAACCACATCATTATCTTTGTAACAATCAACTCTGTGCACTGCTTGCTATTCAAGAAATTCCGGACAATCAATTGAAAACAGTGCCAACTTCCTGTGTGCACTAAGGTTAAGTTTGTCTACTTCCTACACTAGGGGTGGGGCCTGGCAAGGCTAATTCTGGCTTATCAACTCGCACAAAGCGTCATTGTTGGGAAACACTCCGCCCTCCACCGGGGATGACATTTCCTAATATGGTCATGGTTAGGCTTGTAGCCCCGCCCTCGGCTGTGAGTCACGGCAGGGATGTGGGTGTGCGACCGCCATTTTCACAACAGCGCCGAAGGATTGGGCGGCACATTAGCAAAAAACGGCGGTGCACGCCATTTTGGGCACGCCACGTTGACAGGCTCGATGTACACAAACAAAACAATTGTTTTATTTTCATAAGTAACTGATGAAAATAAAGGGAGGCTTAACCTGACATATTTGCGTCGCATCGTTTGAAGACAGATTGGCAGACAACGCCGGTAAACGAATCTGTTCCAGATAAACTGCCGCCAGATGGATTCACACCAGCTGATGGCGTGTAATTTGACACTCAAAACTTCGGAATGAATTTCCATTCCAATATACTCTTCCCCATACATTTATTTACAACGTGTATCTACGGTTATCTGACACAAGACAGTAAATATCATATGTAAGCTACTGGAGCTCTAAAGGGTCACTTTTCGCTATCGGTAAAAAAAAATAATACTTACGCCATTTTGCCAGAAATAGCCAGTGCACTTAGCCGTTGCACTGCCGGGTTGTTGCCGCTGCAAAGATAGCCGCTGCACGCCTTCACACTGCCATTATTGCGCGCTGTAGCTTGCAATATTCTTTACACAGACAACTAAGAAGACGAAGACCGACAAACCGTATCACACAAGCTTATAAATAGCCACGTCACTGTCCAATGTATTCCTCCGCTCTGAAAGTGAGGCGCTTGTTTTGGAAAAAGTGCCAGCCCGTGTGAGCGGAGTTAATGTTTCTAGGAGTGATTTGTTCACAGTGTCACGAACAGACCTTGTCCACGACTGCTCTCTGTCTATGAAACGAACAACCCCTGTGTGCGTCATAATACGCCCAAGCCTTATTTCCAACGGGAGGCATGCCTGACATCTATACGTTGAGAAAATAGATCCACAAAGAGTTTCAACCAGGAAGACACGCGTTAGTCAAATGTAGGTCAAACGCTGAATGTAAACAATGACAAACCTTTATGAACCCTTACCCCCAGATTTGGTTATCATACAAGTTTTAATGTATTTGATGAAAAAAATGTTCGAATGCGTCATTCCTTCAATTCCGTGTATTTAATTCAGAACATTTTAGTAAATGTCATTTCTATTTTTTTAAATCCCACACGTTTTAGAATATTGTTTCCTCCTCCTTAGTATGGAACTTTTATATGTTTAACCGATTTGACTTCCTCTTGTCCTTCAGTGGGGGTGTCCCACCATAAAACACCACATATTTAGACTAGTGACACATCCACTCACTGCTCTTCTACGGGGCTGCCCTCTGGTGGTTACTTCAACACTTAAGTTATTTATTTGTACACTTCATCTTTTTCTTCAATTCCTTTTTACTTCACTTTGACCCAAGGCCCAAACACAAATTCAATAGCAACACAATAATCTATATTTAACAGAGGGACTTTCAGAGACAAATGTTGATTAAATATCAAAGTCATAGTTTTTCTGAGAGCCATCCCCATGACAGTTGCTTTACATATGACTTCTAGATGTACTGTTAAAATCCAACATTATGGAGGAATTTTTAAAATATGTATTTTTGTTCACTACGTTTATACGGGAAGCTTAGTGTGTTAATATAAATTTTCTGTCTCTTTTCCTTTTGTGAAATGTGTCACCACATATTTAGACCTGTGACACATCAACCAATGGCTCGCATTAATATTGAAAGGGGCTGCTCTGTGGTGGTTAGTTTCCTTATCCTTATATATTGATTTCAAAAGTCAGGGACACAATGATAGATAAAACACATATCTTTGCTTTTACTTTATTACATTTGGAATAGTTTAATAAAGAAAATTAATTTTTTAAAAGTTACAAATGATAAAAAAGTGGTGATTAAAAGCCATCAAAGTTACATTGTATTCCTAGTAAGTGTTTGTATTCAGACAACCTCACACATTCAGAATTGCCACGTTTTAACCGTTTCAACATTTGACCCCTTACTGAAACCAATGGCACAAAATGAGATAAGAGAAGCTTGTGGGGCACAGAAATGCAAGAATTGCTTTTAGGTTAAAGCGATGAGTCCTCTGATTGACACCAACTGGTTTAACCCTTTGTCAAGTTCTTCGGCTAGTGCACGGATTTTCATTGCAAGCTTCGACTCAAGACCTTTCTTTACCTTTGGCCCATCTTTACCTTGTTGGAAATACATATCCATGCCGATTGCAAACCCTGACATCACTCCCAGTGCATTGATGCTGATATCTGCAGCCATGGAACTTGCATTTTCTGTGGCCACCTTCACTGCCTTTGCTGCTTTCGTTGACTCCAGCGTAAGATTTGTCAGGTTAGACAGACCATGCCCCCTCAGCTCCTCTATGCCCTTGTTGACAAACTTCAAGCAGCCCAGAATCTCCTCATAGTTGGAACTGAAGTCTTTTAAGGTCTTGTCAATTTTCTTCTTGTCATTTGTTAAAGTTGCCTAAAAAAACAGATGGAATGGTACACAAGAGCTTAGAACTGATAAAAAACACGTAACATTCTTTTATTTATGGTTAAGAGTTATAATAATAATAATTAAAGTTATGTTTAATGATCTTAGCAGCACATTATGACTAAAACAACTGTTATCTTTGAAAAAGCTGCCACTATCATGTAAGGACTTGTGTGGATTTGGAAATATCTGCTTTCATTCTGATAATTGCTAAGTATATCATGCTCTTCATGTTCATCGTGTTTTTAAGCAGTATCTAAAAAAGAGGGTAAACACATAAAGAAAAGAAGATGCAGGAATTTTTTTTATCATGAAGAACAATGGGAGAAATATAAATTTAGTTTTAGTTCTTCACAGCAATCCAAAACAAAAAGCTCACAGAGAAACTAAAGGACCGGCAGCGGTCTGGTCACCTTGTGTGCGATGGCTGCTGAAGCACCAGTGACCCCCCCGGCTGCAGCCACGCCCACTCCCACCGCGGTGAGGGCCAGGGAGGCTCCCAGTGTAAACGGAGACAGAATCACCCCGGCGGCTGCGGCCACCCCTCCGGCTACTGCCGTGGCTCCTCCGGTGATGCCAGCAATCTTTGTCCCCTTTGAAGTCTCGAAGAGCAAAATACTCCAATGAATGTTCTAAACTTCAACTGAAGTGCAGAACTCATACAACTGAAGTCAACTCCAAACATTCTTTTACTATTTCCCATTATTCTAGGTGTTGTTACCTTATCCAAGTTGTCAGCAATGCAGAACATCTCACCGATGAGCTGTTTGAGGTTTCCACCGTGCTTAGTCAGCAGGAAGTTGTATATCCACAAGGCTTTGTAGAGATGGTTTGCTTTAGCAATGATCTCACTGCAATGTGAAAAAATGTTTTCACCTTTTATTTATGGAACCAATTCAGTAAAGTCCAGACAGACTGTTTGAAATATTAAAACTCGTAAGGGGTCCAGTGTGCTTTTCACTTTGTTCACGAGGCAGGATTTGCTGATTTGTTGAAGGGCCTAATATAAGCCGGATGTAGTTTAGCAGAATTTTGTCAGGTAAAAGCACCTAAACATGTCAAAATACAATTTGAAAGCTTACGTGGCATTTGGAATGCTTAGAAAAAGAAACCAATGTTCAAAATGTTAAAAGCATTCAATATTCTCAGCATTTGCTCATGTTGGTTAAGGTTCATGACCTCACCTATGTGTTCAACGATAGCAGTCAGTTGTCAGCACGCTAACACA